TTACTAACTATCCTTCGACACTTAAAATATCTGTTCTTTCTAAGTGCGGTGCTAAAATATGCAAGCCAGTTTCGTTTAGTATTTTTTTAAAGGGATTCGCTTATGCTTAAATATTGGAACATACTTTTAAGCTTTTGGTTTCAACCTCACCTCAAGGTACACATAAAAAATCTTAAGAATGAAGAAACCTTGCAACTGCAAAGCCAATTCTATGTTAAAAGTTGCAAAGAATTACTTTGCGACAAACATAAATACACTTAAGGACATTGCACTCCTTACCACAGGAGTCAGATAGTCCTACTTTCGTCGTTAAGCATGGACAGCGTAGCACGTTGCAATTTGGTTAGCATCTAACTTAGTTGCAAACTTGCGGGATACTAAGTTTTGTTGGCAAAAGTTGCTACAAAAATTTTTAACCAAAGTTTACATTCCTTTTTGTTTGTTTTCCTTTTTCTTTTCACTGTTTTTGGTTTTGGTCTTATTAATACTTTCGTTGCTTGTTGTTATTGTTTTCATTTATACTCAGTTTGGCAAGTAAGCGCATTGCATGCGCCCCTTTAATATAGTTTCGCTCAGTTCATACAGTCTGCGTTATGATGTGCATACAAAGGACGTACACTTCGAGCCGCCTTCAACCTTGCTGCGCTTCCGTAAGCCCCGCCAGTGAATGAGAAATTCAAAAAGTTTCACGAAAAATATTGCAGTTTTCACGGAAGACGGAAGTACGAAATCATGTGAAATTTAATTTCATGCAGGCAGGAGCCGCTGTGTTTGCATATATCGACTGCAATATACAAAAATATTGTATACTCCCAGTTATAATAACTCAAAAATTTATCTTGAACAATTTTTCAAAAATTAAAAATTAATTTCTCCAATTAATTATATGTGTTAAATATAAATCAAAATAGGGAATGAAAAGATTCGAGAAACAGAATACTACAATTCAGGTAGATAAGGTTAACGATGTTTTATACATTTAAATGCTTTAAAAATTTAAATAAATTTATAATATAGTAATAAATTCAATAAATAGGATATATAAATAATATTATGTACAATAACAATTAAACGGCAAATTGTATATAATCCTGTTTACGATTTATTAAAAGTATTTCTATACTCAACTATAAAGCTCAACTACAGGCCTTTTCTTTTGTAAGCATATCACAAAAGAACAATCGCTTATTTTATGACATAACAAACAACAACACTGCTGGCTTGTTTAGTCCAACTTTCTTGAAATCGCTTAATAAAAAAGCAATTTAAATGGCATGGTTGCCAAGACTAAAAATTTTTCGATTGTGAACGGTTTTTGGAAATATATACAAAATTTCCAGTTAACTGTCAACTAATATTTGACAAATAATACTCAATTTTTTTAATTTACAACTTTTTTCTGGTAACATTGAAAAAGCGTGAAAATAAAAATTTTATTAAAACAATATAAAAAAAAAATAATTTTGTCCATAATTTCAAAGAATTACTATTCATTTTCGAGACTATAACTTTAAATTTAATTACGTCTTTTGCATAAATGAGCCTAACAAAATTACCAGTTTTTCCACAGTTCCATCAAAATTAGTGCTTATTTTATGTTGTTCTCTTGCAACATGCTTACAAAAGAAAAGACCTTACGAAAATAAGGTGAATATACTTTATACTGTGTATAAAAACAGTATAAATATATATATGTAAGTGTATAAAAACTTTTTTAATAAGTAGAGAAGAGAGTAAATACATAATTCCTATCAAAACGAAAATATGTATTTACCATTGTTGTTGTATTGTAGAATTTGTTTGTCCTATGTGTTGTTACTATATTACCCGTAATATTTTCTTTCAGAGTAGCAAAAAAATACTCGCAACTTACGAAAGAAACTATGTGAAGCAACAACAAGGTTTTTAAAATCTTCAGAATTAGGTTTTACTCCCAAAATATTTTAAATCTTAAGTTTCTGTGCAGCACAATTCAAAAGCCAGTCTACTGTGAATGTTCACTGGAAATATGCTGGAACATTCCAGCCATCCATTAAAATCATATGATCCTTTCATTTAGTAATAAGTTCTAAAGCATGAATCAATAAATTAATTTAAATATATAAGATAAAAATACTTTATGTTGCCCTTTATTATTCATTTTTAATATTCCTTTTATTAAAATTAATTAATTTTAATTTGTGTTTATAATTTTTATATTTCATATTATACACTTAGCATATTTTAAGAGTTATACCAATATGTTTTAACCACACTAAATGTTTTTTTCACAAATCTGAAAGAAAAAATTACGACTATTATAAAAAATTTTATCATATCAGTATCATATCAGTCAATTTGAGACTATAAACTATAGTCGAAATATCGGTAACAATCAATAATATTTTTAAAACTAATTTAAAAAGTTGTGTATTATTCAACATTGACCAATTATATCGTACAAAAAACTATGAATAAAATTTGGTCTTTATATTAATAAATTATAAATCGGCAATGTTAAACAGTTTTGAATTTTTTAGGCGGAAAATGAGAAAATAAAAAATATTTTTAAGTTGAAAGGGTTCGAATAGAAATGAAAAGACATTTCATATATAAATGTATATGTATATAAATGAATATAAAAAAGTATTTTTGTTTTTTTTTGTTTATATCCAAAAAGAAAAAACCAGAGCAACGATTGTCACTTGACTATGTCAATACTATGTTTGTCTTCATAGGTCTTCACAACGTTTGTTTAAATTCCATTACCCAATTTGTTGTTGTTGTAAAAAAAACAAATTTCCTAAAAGTATGATGCTATTACATTTTTAAATTTATTTGACTTACATTGATATATCAACATATTTAATACACTGCATTCGTAAAATGGTCACTACAAAAGTTCATTTACTTCCCGAAAAGATCGTTGTAAAACTCACTACCTTCAAGAAAAAAAACGCATTTAGAAGAATACTAAAAATTTTACTTGATATGTTGAAAAAAGTTCACTTTTGAATTTTGTGTTCATAAACACGAACACTATATATTATTTGATATGTTTCAAATTTTATTTGGTGTAGTGTTCGTGTAGCAGTTTTGAATATTAACAAAAAACAGTACACTACGTTTGATAGTTTTCGTTCACTGCATAAAACACAATTTGATAATGGCAATAGCCATTATTGTTACCAGCTTTCTCACATACCAACACTAAAGCACATTAATTAGAACTTTTTTATTCACAACTACAACAACATTAAGTTGTGCTAATGCCTCCCATTTGTTGTTCGTTCTACAACTTGCTCTGCATCCTAATCAAAAACGTACCCACAATGTAGGAAAAGGGTGCCGAAAGAACAATTTCGCCATAAAAACAATAAACATATAAAAAAGCATCATTCATTTAAATAATCATTAAAGTATCGCTCCATATATGTATTATTCAATATTATATAGTCATCACATTAAAATTCATCGTTTAAGCTGCTGTTTGAACATATACCCACCCATATCTTGGCCATCGAACCATCATATATAATAGGGTCCACCACCTTATATTCAGTGACGACGCGTGCCCTATCTGGAAGGGTGTGCGGCCCTTCTTTAATGTTGTTTTTACATGTACCACTTATATTAAAATATATGAGATCTTTTATTAATAATAACTATATTATATAAGGCAACAATATATTCGCAATATTATATTAACAATTCATTAACAAAATAACATATTAAACAAATTAAATTAATAATTTATATATAAGTTTAATATTATATTAATATGGAAGAAACAAAACTTTTCACATAATTCTCGTAACATCAAACCAAATTTTTTCAAACAAAAGAGTTTGTACTTAGAAACATACATGTTTGTGCAGTGATCAAACAAAATCGAAACCACTTGCAATGTGCGCACAAGTACCCCGCACAATAAGAACAGAAATTCGTGGGTGCTGCTGTTAAAAGGGGAGAGACGAAATGTGATAGAAATGTATGGTGAGATGAGCTGCAAACTTCAGCCGCTCATGCAACCACTTTGGCAAATCATCATGTTGGATTCGTATGCATACAGTTGATATTCGAATAGAACAGAAAATTACTCTCATACAATTCCCACTATATAAATCTCTATTTCTGATATTACGAACGGGAGCACACGCACATTATTTTGTTCATATGTAACGTATGAATGTGCGGCCAACTTCTTTGCACACAAAGGGGAGAGACGAAATATAATAGAAATGTTCTGTGATTTGAGCTGCAAATATATGAGCACAACTAACAAGTATAGCGGCTAACAGAAGCAAATTAATTGAATTTTCATAGACAATTATATTTAATTGTTTTTGCTAAAACTTTAAAAATATATATTTATATGGAAATGTAATAAATAATAATAATTCTTGATGTAAAGATACTTAATAAATTTATATACCTATGTTATTTAACATTTTGCAAATAATATTAGGGTGTTCACCGCACACCTCCGCACCTTAGAGCAGTCGTCACTGCTTATATTACACCCCTCTACTTCGCCCACGCTCCTAATCATAAAGGCTAATAACTTATCATTTTAAAATAACTACAATAATCTTGAAATAGTTTTCGTCACCATTAAAGTATTTTTCAACTAATTAATTTATAGTTTGTCATTTAAATATCTTAAATTTTTTTTATAAATAAATATAAATAAATAAATATTGTTTATAATTAATATTTTTTAATATTTACTATAAATACATCAAATGCACAACTGCAATAGATTTCAGATTTTGGCCACTTTTTGCCGGAAAAAACAAAAGATAAACGCACTTTAACATAAAAAATAAATAATAAAGAGAATTACGAGAAATGAGAACACTCAAACAGCCTTTACTGCCGAAGTTAATTACATTTCGAAAGAATACACAGCAAACAAAAACAACAATAATAAAAAAATCACTAAAAACCGTGTCTCGACTAAAACCGTACAATAAAAATTGAGTGATTTTCGGTCAGTCAAAATCGAACGGTCCAACTGTGAAAATCATAACTATTATGGAAAGAAAAAAATATTAGAAAAATTTTATTTAAATTTTATAGTAAAAATCTAATAAAAATTTTATTATTACATTGTCAATTAAAGTTATTGCATTTGATATTATTCAATTGACATCATTGCAACTTACCGCTACGTCGTCAGCAGCATCAACATGCTAATTGTCAAAATAACGTAAATCCAACTTAATAAAAAACAACAACAATGACAAAACTTATGGCTACACAATAAGTGAACTGAAAACAATAACAAAATTAAACGAAAATTGAACCCAAATATATTTGCTGGCAGAGGTCAAACTTTCAATTGATATAAAACATAAACGTCAACGTAATTAAGACGCACAATTTAATCATAGTTTTTATAAACGCCATCGCATCAACAAATAATAACAAAAAACAACAAATAAAAACAAAACATAACTGAAAGTGTTAATATATTAAAAACTTGCAATTAAAATTAATACACAAAAAAAAAACTATAAGGACGCTATCATCATTTCTGCATTTGCTATTGAGACAATATTTATTTACTTTGTTCATTTTTATTTATCCGAGCTGCGCAGAAATGCTGCTGCGTCTCCGCTTAATATGTCTTTATTTGTTTTCCATGCTCGTGACTCAGGTACGCATGGATGAGCAAAAGCTCATATGCAATACGATTGACATAAAAAAAACAGAAGATTTCGAACGCTTGCACAAATGCAACATAATTGTAGGTCACATTAGCATTACCAACGTGCAAATACCAGCTGTTATAACGCCGACTGATATAGAAGAAATTACTGATTATTTGTTAGTGTACCGTGTACATGGCTTGGAAAGCTTGCGTTCGCTTTTTCCGAACTTGGTTATTATACGCGGCAAAGATTTGCTTTTCGACAAATACGCTTTGATTATTTATGAGAATTTGAAATTATTGAATTTGGGTCTGGTATCACTGCTGCGCATACAGCACGGCGACGTACGCATCGAATCGAATCCTTTGCTTTGTTATACGCACACAGTGAATTGGCTGCACATATTGGGCAATAACACAAAGCAGCATTACGTCCTGAAGGTGCGAATTAATAAATTTAATGTGTAATTCATACAAATAAATTTAATAATAATTAATTAAATAAATTAAAAAGATTAAATGATCACATAGAATATAAAATGAATTATATATATATATAAATATATAAATTTAATTACAATCAAATTTTCATAATTCGAAGTACCATTTTACAAAGAAAACGTTCGACTTATAGAGACTTCGAGTTAGAAAATAAATTTATTTATTTTTTACTTTTAAAGAAATTAGAATTTCATTTCAAGATATTTATTTATTTATTTGAAATCAAATTCATCGCAGAAGTTATAGTGAAGTGAAACATTCAGCAGTTAGGATTTAGGATTTTAATTTTTTTTTCTTATTTTCAGTAAAAAGATATTCCGATTATTCAAACTCTTAAAGTGATCATTATTTGTAATATCATTCATTAGAAAAAAAAATTAAGAATTTTGAATGAGAATTTTCTACTTCATTTTTGGAAGGTTGATAAACAAATTCATTCACCGAACCCTCATCATCACTTTCCGTTGCGCTTAGAATCGGATCTACTATAATAAGATATATACAAAGCTATAATGCTCAATAATATCGTCATCTATAAGAAAACTTAATGTACACATTTCATTGTCAAGCTTAATATAAACGTTAAGAGTAGCATTGGAAGTTATTTTATTTACTTTACTTTTACATTAATTCACAGTTTTCATCAATGTTATTCAAGAAAACTAGAAGAATATGTCGTCCTGTTCGTTCCATGTAGACAATTCGCCAAATCTAGCTTTTTTAAAGCAGTGCGCTATCGTTTGACTACTGTTTGCCAGCGACTGGCATTTGTACAAAGAAGCAACATAAAAAACAAAAAGTTGAAACATTTTGCTTGAAAAAAGGGACTTCCCCTAACACCGAAATGGATTCATACTTAAAACAAAAAATCGACTCATAGAATGCACTTTCCCATATTCCTATTGGTACGTGACAATATTTTTATTCGAGTTATAGAGAAATTCGAATTATAGAAGTTCTAGTTATGGAAGCAAATATGTTATGTAATTTACTCTCTAAAACTCTATTGTACTCTTTTTAGTTCGAGTTACATAAAATTCGAGTTATAAAAGTTCAACTGTATATATAAAAAATACAAATACATAATATTTGTAATTATTTGTAGTTCAATTATCTTAATCACGTTTGCTGAGAAAGCGTGTATAAACACAAAAATAAAAACAAATAAATATAAGTTTTCTTCTCCATCCTAATAAATAGCATATCTGTGACCTTCATGCCATATCATAGACCCTCATTATCAACAAAAATAGTGAAAATAAATTTATAAGCCTATAAATCTATTATTCGTTTAAAAAATATAATGACGTCAACACACCTACACCTAAGGTTTCAAAAAAGGCCGGATCTATGTCCCGGAGCCAGTCGTCAATCTCGACGACCAGGTGAGCTTCACCACCCCTCGAAGTGATTTTTCAAGATCTCCCCTGACTAATACTGCAACAGCAATAACAACCACACTTATGGTCCCTAGTTACGTCAAAGTTTTTAATCGCGAATTATCACCTAATTGCTAATGATAATGTAGTACCTTTTGGAAAGTGCGAATGGCACTTACTCGTAGAACTAGACAACTGGCTTCGAGACTTAGATCCGCTAGTTCTTAATTCATTCTTACTCCTAAACACTTCCATTACCTATTCATACCCTAACCCATAAATACTTCTTTATAATTTCTGTCATGTTATCTGCTTTATAGATCTTTGCAAGCTACGCAAATACACTTTTCACCCACATATTCATAAGTTTAAATAATGCTTAATATTATTTAAACAATTTCACCTAATAAAAAATTAAAAATAAAAAAAATTATTACTCTCATAAAATTAAATAAAATATATAAAGTATTATGTATATTTAATAAGCTATAATAAACTTTTAATACATTTAAATAAAAAATTTTTTCAATGCATGAATAATAAATAAATAAAATAAAATTAATCCAAATTTGAAAAATAAACAAATTTAGTAATAATGTATATAATTTTAATTTAAAGTCTGGGATAATACTCCTGCTTAAAATGCTTGTTAACCCAGTCAATATCTGATCCTAAATACAAGATTAATCATAATAGAATTAGCGATTTAACGACATCCATTATAACAACAGCTCCAATAACTATACTCGTAGGTGTAGATGAGTTATTTAAAAAATTTTGCAAATAGAATGAGAATGGAGAGGTGGAAACTATTTGATAATAGAGAAATATTAAATAATATTCTGACATATAAAGAAGTAACTTCGAATCCTAATACCCTATTCATACGACTAAAGTTTATCAGAATCCAAATTAAATCGACATTTATAAGATATTTAAATATTGTAATTTACAAATATTTAAAATAGATTGTGTAATAAATATCTTTATACTATAAAAAACTATAACTACTCGTATACATGTTCATAGAAGTAAAACGGCACTGAAAAGACTGGCCGTTTAAATGTGTTTTCAAATTTTGCTTAACCGTGAAGTATCACAAAAAAGAAAGGCAAATGACACCTAATTTCTTATTCACACAACATGAGTTAATCTTTATTAAAAACTGCTCTCTGAAGTGAGTTGTTGATGTTGTCTTGGTATTTCGTTGTTTTTTTTTTTTTTTGAGAAATTCAGATTCAAGAACTGATATCCGTGATTAGGTTGCATTCCTAAATGTCTGACTGTGGTAGACTTTGATTCTAATCTTTATTTCACAATTCATAAATGTATATACATTAATATATATATTATATTATATATATATATATAAATATATATTTATATTAGATAACTAAAATCTATAAAAACCTAATAAAAAAATAATACAATTATTAGAAATTATTTCTTGAAGAAAAATTATTATTTATTTTATGTTACTTTAATTTTATATTGTATTTAATTATAATATAACATAATAAAACATACTTATTTTTTTACGTTTTCATATAGAATAATAAACCACCCAGCTTTTGTGCAATCTGCATCTTAGTGAATAAGAAACCAGAAACGGAAGAAGAAGCAGAATTTCAACCAAACTGTTGGGACTTTGAAGTACCACAGAACAAGTTAAGGAATATTAGTTATAATTCTAGAGAATGTCCAACAAAATGTGGTTTCGATGCATGTACAATAACTGGAAACTGCTGTAGTCGCGACTGTTTAAGTGATTGTTCGACGAATGCTTGTTCCTTGTGCGCCAACTTTATGATAGATGGGAAATGCACAGACGCCTGTAATCCACCATATTATCAAGTAAGAATACAAATAAAGTGTTTGAAAATTTACTTTATTTAAAGGAATAACGTGATTTTGATAGTTTTCGAGTTGATTTGCAGAAAAACTTTAAGAACTCTTAGTTAGAACTACTCACACATCAAAAATCTGGGACCGAGTTATACAAAAATTAAATGATTGTTTTCGAATTGTTTAATAGGAAAATATTCCTTAAGATACTTAAAACTGCTATTCACGGTATAGAAAAAACTTAATAAGTTATATTGCCCTTTATATAGTATTAATGTCCTGCTTCTTGTCATTCGTATCTACATAGTTCTGCTATTTATAACTCTATTGGCTTGAATTTTTTTGGTCCACAACAACTTCTCATTTTCATTAACATTTCAATTTCTATTAAAGAATGTTTAAACTGAAATCATAATAATCACCTTATTTTTCAGTAAATACAATACTAAATCAAGTTTGCTGTTTCTGATTCCAAACAAGTTGAGGTTCATCCTAAATATGATTCGTATTTTCGTATGTGCTTTACCTTTTGTCTTTCAGAAACCAATCATCTTACAGAAATTATCTTGCAGAACAATATAGTACAAAGTATACACTATATACTCCAATTTATTTTCTACATCTACAAATGCTCAATAATTGCAAAAATAATAACATAAGCATTATTACCTATATTCAGATCTACTCAGTTACTGATCCTGTGAAAACTAGATAATGTTTGATATGCTACAATATTTTATAGTAATCCAACATTGCTATGTTCGCACTGTGAAACCTTCAAATAGTAACAATAATAATGTCTTAATAATCATATTTAAGCGTACTACTCTCCTATTTTATGCACAAATTTGTCAAGTATTAACAATTAATCAAGATTTTTATCAAGCTAAAATCTTTTTGCTATTCAGGACAAATCTTGACAAATTTGAAAGCTCAAGTACCTAGTGCTTTTCACCACACTATGGTGTAAAGTGTTTTAGAGGTATACAAAAATGAAAAGTAGTGCGTGGAATAGTTATTATATTCATATAATGCCTCATTACTTTTATATTTTATGTTAAAGTTATATGTATAAATAAGTCAGTTTAACACATTGCACGAGATAATAGATCGTTTACGGACACAATATATTTTATGCTTTCTAAAAGCACTACGTTTTCTTGTAACCTATTAATGTCAATCATTGGGCCTATTTACACTATCATGAACATGAACATAAACTTGAAAACCGGTTGCTTATTGATGAGAGAGTGTGATGGGAGTTCATGAATTTCACGCAATGAAATTTGCTGCGTTTCTTTAGCTTGACACGCATACATTTACAATGTTATGTTTATGTTTACCTTTTAATACTCTCAATTGTTGAATACTCTCAATTTCTGTGCTCTCACACAAGCATTTTATTCGTTTACACAAAACAAAACAGATTCTACGCTCATGAGAATTCATGATAGTGTAAACTGAACTAACAGTTCATGTTGTCGTCAAGTTCATCTAACGTTCATGATAGCATAAATAGGCTCATTAAGTACTAAATAACTAAGTAAAAATATGTCACAAATTAAAGCTGCAACAATGAGTAAGACTTCTTCTCATTATGAGAAGTCGTCTTATGAAAGCGACTCTTCATAAGACTTAGCTAGCATAAATCAATTTGAATAATAACGTTAATGTTTTTAGTGTGACAATGAAAAATTGTTACCAACGGTGATAATTCGTATTAAATGAAATGAGGTAATAAGGATTTAAATAATAGCTCTCATTGTATTGACCCTCCAAACATTTAATTGGTGTCAAAGAAATAGACTTAAGCCACCTGAATAAAATGTAGCCATATATCAATACAGTTTTTGTCTCTTACCAAGTACAAATGATTGGTATACCACTATTTATTTATTAAATATTATATTATTGTGTATTAATATATTAACATAAAGGATAGAGCCCTAAAATTATTTACGAAAACTGACAGACAACAACAGACATCAACACCGCGTTATCGAATCTCAGAATAGTTACAGGCTCCTCAGGGAGGCATTCAGATCTTAGTCTTGTCAAGTATTGCTTAGTCTGATGAAATGATAAACAATAATGCAGTGAAGGCGTTGAGAGATGTTATGAAGAAATCTCGCAGTTCATAGAGAGTAAAAGTGCTCAAGTGCACTGATTCAACTAGCTTTAACGTAATAATATATTTACACATACTATTATTATATTATTACTATTATTATATATTCATATACACATATATTATAGTATGTGCTTAGTACATATTTTTTGTATACATATATTCAATTCTTAACTACATAGTACTTAATTTATATCTCTAAAACAAAATTAAAAAAAAGAACCAACCGTTTTCTCAAAACTCATATTTTTTTAAATTTTTTGTTTTTTGGTTAGTTCAACAAACGTTTGTGTATAGGAAGCGATGACTGCCGTTCAAAGGGAATGATCCCATTTGCCGGTATTTGTACAAAAAACTGTCCAAAAAACTATCAAGAAATAAAAACATCGAATGGTCAACGTAGTTGTACATTGAATTGCACAGGAAATTATGTAGTCGAAACCGTTGAGGGGTTGGAAACCTTACGAGACTGTAAAACACTACATGGCTCTCTAACGATTCAATTAAGTGAAACTAAAAGTAAGTAAGAAATTAAGCACTTTGATCTCTAACTAATTTTTAAATATCTCACAGGCAAGATTGTAAACCATTTAGAAGAAGTATTTATGAATTTAAAGGAAATTACAGGTTACTTGAAAGTAACCCATTCTCCACAGATAGTCTCGCTAAGTTTTCTACGTAATCTTCATAGCATCGGAGGGAATGTACTCATAGACAATCAGTAAGTGGATGGTATACTGTTCGTATTTATTTTAAATAAATTTAAAAAAAAATCACTTAAAAATCATATGAGGTACCGAAGGAATTGTTATCATACAATATGTAATAAGCTTTCACTTAGGAAAATACTTATAAGATAAAATGATAACTTTCGTGTTACTTCTAATCGCAAATCGTGCTATACACTATATTTCTTTTGTACTATTTTTCTCTTTTTTTTTATTATTTTTTTATAATTTTATTTTTATTATCGTCAATCATATTTATTCATTATTTTTGTAGTTGACATTCCGAATAAAGCGTTTTAATAAAGCGTTTATTTTTTCAGCTATGCGCTTTACATCGTTAACAACATTCACATGGAAAATATTTGGTCTCACAATCAAAAAGTTGCTATCCTCAAAGGCTTTATCTACATTCACCTAAATCCACGCTTATGCTTTGAAAAAATTCTCCAATTAAAATCATCATTAAAACAGGAGCAGAAGATTACCATACAACATTCATCTCCAAACTCCAATGGAGAACGTATTGTATGTAAGTCTAATAAACACACTAGCTAACCAACGTTCATGCCTTGTGTTATTGTAATTATTCTTTCACTTCATAGGCGGCGAAGGAGTACAGGTCTTAAACGCAACTGTGGAAGACTTCAACGCCACTGCAGCGCGGATAAAAGTTGATATCCGTTCAGTAGAAGACATGAATGTTCTTTTAGGTTATGTGCACTATTACAAAGAGGCACCGGTGAGGAATGTCAGTATGTATGATGGGCGACATGGTTGTGGGCGTGATCAGTGAGTTCGAATTAACTGCTAAAAATATGGTTGAACTAACTAAGATGCATTTTTTGTTTTTGTCTTTTACAGTTGGAACACGGATGTGACAATCAATAGAAATATTAGGCATGTTATAAAAAATTTAAAACCTTACACACAATATGCATATTTTGTAAAAACGTTGAGTATTATTGAGTTTCATTGGCAAATTGAGGCTTATTCAAAAATACAATACTTTCGCACATTACCAAGTACACCGGGACCAGTGGGCGTCATATTCTATCATTCCTTAACAACAACTGAATTGGTGAGTTATGAGCCACAAGTTGTAATCTTAATTGAACTTAAATAATTCTTAGGTACTACATTGGTGGCCACCCAAAAATCCCAATGGAGTTATTAACAAATATATGATATACTATGAAAAAGTAAAGGAAAAAATTCTTGGTAACCGACATTAACCGACATTAAGAGTTTAAAAATTTTACATAATTTTTCTTATATTAGGTGAAACTGTTAAGAATTTCACTGCATCTATTAAGTCAAAACCTAAAGCACCAGATTGCATTTGCATGAATTTGGATACCGAAAACAGTGGTGCAGTTCCAAATGAAGAAAATTTCTACAATAAAAATGAATTAACTTACGATGAAGCTCTATCAAATTTTGTCTACGTTTCGTAAGTAAAAAACATTTTACCACAACTTTTCGTAAACCTATTTAATATTTCTTATACTCATCATAATCAAAAGTAATATATTTTTATTTCACTGCAACAGCACTGCTCAGTGAGGTTTGTATTACTAGTCTTCTCGTGCTATCTGTTTCTTCTATAAGGTGCCTATGTGCAAAGTGCTTAAAGGGGTCTGTAAAGGCATTTACATGCATGCTCATTTATATTAATAAGTGAACCTTCACATTATAATTAGCTCATTCATGTAGCTGATTGCAGTTTTATAAACTTTTATAAACCTCAATAATATATCACACACAAAAAATTAAATACATATATATTAATTAAATACTTACTTCCTTAATGCCTTTGTTTACAACTCAGGTATTGTTTGTTTACACTTTAAATATAAAACACATGACACATATTTCAAATCTTGGTAATTTCCCTTGTGGGAAATTTATTTTTAAGAATTGCATTTGACATTTTTCACCTTTAATGAGCTGATTTATTGATAATAAGCTCATTTATATGAAAGCACTTTGTATGGCAAATCATCGTCATTAGAAGCTAGAATGACTAAATCCGCCTAAATAAGACAGTATGAATGTGCTATTACTTAAATCAAATAAAGTATTGTATGTATTTATGAAAGAACACCTTATTATTATAGGAACTTCAACAAAACATTGAACTCGCACGTAAATGCCACGCACTGATGCATAAATGGAAGTAATATTCGATAATATTAAGGACGTGTGCGAGTTAGGCTAAGTTGATGCTAAACCAAATGGGAGATTTTTTGGGATTTTTTGCACTGCACACATTTAGCCATTTATCAACATGTATCGACACATCACTACATTATCGCCACAACTTAGAATTTCCCTCATTTAGAACGCAACTTAGCCTAACTCGCACACGACCTAAAAGTGTTCGCTATTTTGAGCACTAGATGGTCTTAATACCCAAATATCTAGCAGCACTAATTCGATTATGTTAAACAAACATAATAACCTTTCAATTTGAAAGGTGATATTTCGAGGTATATTTTTTTTTTGTGTAATTTGTTGCTTATGTAAAAATTTGCATTGATATGAAAATGCGTGAAGTATATAAAAAAATACACCATATAATGCTTTGTTAAAGTGAAACTACTCTTAAACATATTGAAACATTTTTGCAGTTTATAGCGACAATATTATGAGTAAACACAAGATCTAGAAGTAACATAGATTGCATGATTCCGTTCCAGGAACTGCGATGTCAAAGACTGGTGAAACAACCACATGATAGTTTAATAAATTTTAAAAAGAGCAGGCTACAGTCGTTCGATGTTAGGGTACCATTAATAACAACCACTGTGCGAGTTAGGCTAAGTTGCGTTCTAAATGAGGGAAATTCTAAGTTGTGCCGATAATGTATTGATGTGTCTATACGTGTTGATAAATGGCTAAATGTGTGCAGTGCAAAAAATCCTAAAAAATCTCCCATTTGGTTTAGCATTAACTTACCCTAACTCGCACACGTCGTAAAACGTAAAGAAATCAAATCATTTCGGTGCGATTAAATTTAAAATAATTTAATCCAGACGATCATGGACAAACGTCGATGACCTGCCATAAATAACTTCAAAACCTGGATTGATGGTTTACAAGGTTATATTGAGTGTTCAGTGGAGTTAAAAGGAGTTATTTGCCAACAGACACATTTTTGATGACTCGGAACAAAACCCGGTGGTGCATCCACGGTATTCACCGGACCTTGCACTATCTGCCTACCATTTGTTTTACGTTTCTGCGAAACTCTCTTAATGGTAAACAATTAATTAACCGAATGGCCGCTAAAATTCAATTGACCAAGTTTTTCACTGATAAATCAGAGAAGTATAGCCAATAATATAGTTGATTAAAGTTGATTTTCAATAAATAAAATTTTTGTTCAAAAACTGTACTAAGAAAAAGTACATATATCATTCATTACGCCCACTATGAACTAAGAGTCAAATAGTACAAGTAATACTAATTAATTGAGGAAGTAGGACTGAGAGAAGCACTCTAAGACTATGAAAAGAATATCATAGTCAATATCATAAACCTCGAAGTTACTTTGGTATACACTCCTTAATATAATTAAATTTCTTTAAGAAAACTAACGAGCTTAATCTGTCTCCGATACTTAATCTGTCTCCGCTGGCAACATTGTTTGTAGTAACTATTATTTTCACAAATAATAATATTTTTTTCACACTTTATTGAAACTTTTTTTCAAGCAAAGAAACTTTATTAATTTTCCTTTGAATCTGAATGTTATAATACAATTTAAAGTAATTCACACAAATATCTTTCTAAAGCTTAAAGCCAATAGATGCATGCTTTATTTCCTTTTAATTTTTTATAGTCGAGCCAGTACTGGCACAAACAAATCATTCTGCATAAAGAAACCAAAGAACACCACAGAAGAGTTAAATGAAATCTTACCAGTAAATGCTACCCAAAATAGTACATCATCCAAAAGTGCAGATATCAATGATAAGATGAACGCCAAACTTGGAACAGAGCGCCTGCTTAACTATAGCCGTGAATTGGAATTAAAATCACTTGCTGAACAAGACACTGGAATTGCGGACTACCTTATAATGAAGCCATTACCTATCTGCAATTTACCCTTTGCCACGGTGCAGCATCAATTGGAGAACTCTTGCAAGCCACAAGAATATTACGAAGGCTTTTCCGTAGCTGGCAATTATCACTCATACATTTTGACTGGTCTGCAACCGGAAGTAACATATCGCGTATCTGTACGTGCTTGTGTGGAGGGTTTGAGAAATGCCTGTGGACCGACTAGTTCTATATTAGCTGAAACTGTTAGCAAAAGTTTAGCTAATTTCTTTAAGCAATTAAAATTGTACTGATTTGTGGATAATAATGATGATAACATCATTATCTAGTAACATTTTTGCACTAGCTCAAATGATTTTACTTCACCATTTCCTAATTAGTATATAATAATGTTTTTATGTTTTAAATGACTCATTAATGTTATATTGATATTTAAAAAATATGTATTTGATATTAAAAAAATAAACACTGATAAATAAACATTATATACGTCATAACTATAGCTCAAGTCTCAAAGCTACCTTAATTATGAATTAATACTACGTTTACATTGTAAGATTAAGAGAACGAGATTAGGTTGATCTGCATTTTTAATCTCAACCGTTTACATTATACATTGGAAATTAATTTTGACGTTTTTCTTGCTGTGTTTTGATTCGTGTGTTTCATAAATTTCTAAAAATAAAGCATTCAATTACAATTTTGTATAAAAAAGTTATAATATAAATTTGATAAATAGTTTTATAACAATAATTTAACAAATTTTAGTTATAATTATCTACAAAACTATTATTAAACATATTTATTAAAAACTTACTTCGGCATTTTCAAATTTTTAATGTTTGTTTTGAATAGATTTTGAGATTTCTTTTCCAATTATTCTAAGATCGTAAAAAAATCTACGATATTAAGCCATTTGCAAAATTGCACACGTAAATGATCATCATTTCGAAAAAGATTTAAAATTAATCTCGACCAAAAGGAGATCAACTTTTGCATGGAAAATCTGAGATTAACAAGTCAGTACTTGAAACTCGGTTGAAAACTCGGCTTTAATTTGCTTTTAATCACACAATGTAAACGCCGTATAAGTCAGCAAAGTCGATTATTTAAGGATAACTTAACTCAGAGTGCGAATTCAGATAAGTAAAATCTTCCCTATTTCGTGGAAGATAATGAATAGTTTGAATGCTTTATTACCGACAATAATTGCTGAATTAATTGTTGTATAGAAACTAATTTAAGGAGAGTTTTTTGAAATCTAATTCGTGCGAAAACATATAATTGAGTAAAATATTTTAAATCAAATGTAAGTTAGGACCGTGTGCGAATTCAAGTAAATTCATTGTAAATTGAGGTAAATAGTAAATTATGTCGGTATGACAGCGAATGTTGGTATTTACTAGAATTTCGAGTAGGGCAAATTATATAAAAATTAGGTAAATTAAGTGTTACCATTATGAAAATTTTATAAGATGTTTAATAAATAAATAAATAAATTTAGAAACTTTTAACCAAAAACAATAAATAAGTGCAATAAATAAATAAATAAATATTTACATAAGTGCAGTACAAAAAATTCCTAGGAAATTTCAATTTACTTTACCCCAATTTACTCGAACTCGTATAAAGCCTAGTTTAAATTATATCGCCGATCCAAGGTATCCACTTGTGTTACCAAAAAAGTAAAAAATCTACTTGTATATAACTTACCCTTTTGTAAAGAAAATATTTATTATCTTATACTTGCTAATTTCTATGCAAGAAATTTAAAAGTTTATAACTCTTTTGGCAAAATAAGCATTTAAATATTTTACACCATTATTGAATGCATTATACGATCTTAGGACTTCATAATCATACGATGTTTACAGTTTGCAAAAACGATATGGTTTGGGTATAAGAAAATTTCGTGTTAATTAAATATGTACGTAATTAGCTTTTCCACAAACCTGCACTAATTTTTATTGTACAGTTTAAATGTACAATACAAATTAGTACACCTAAATATTAAATACCGTAATGCGGTCTTAACAATTGACGAGCTGTACTGACTCATGCTATACAAGTAAATTTTAAGGAATAATTTTTGATGCTTGCTGTACTTGATGAATTCTGCAAATTAAAAACACGATACAAATGCAATATATAGGTCGTGTGCGAGTTAGGCTAAGTTGATGCTAAACCAATTGGGAGATTTTTTTGGGATTTTTTGCACTGCACACATTTAGCCATTTATCAACACGTATCGACACATCACTACATTATCGGCTCATCTTAGAATTTTCCTTATTTAGAACGCAACTTAGCCTAACTCGCACACGTCCATAATATATTCCTTTCAAATTTAGGACGTGTGCGAGTTAGGCTAAGTTGATGCTAAACCAAATGGGAGATTTTTTGGGATTTTTTGCACTGCACATATTTATCAACACGTATCGACACATCACTACATTATCGGCACAACTTAGAATTTCCCTCATTTAGAACGCAACTTAGCCTAACTCGCACACGACCTTAATTTAAATTTCATTTAATTGTAATTTGATTGTACCCACCATTATAAATATCTAAAAATATATGATATATCATTTCAAATAGAACTTTATACAATAAAATAAAAATAAATTAATTATATTTGGTTACATATTTTAAATTTTATTTATTCTATAATATATTATTAGTAGGTAAGCCCGACAACACTTTAATTTTGCCGAACACACTGCTATAAATTACTGAGAAAGTAAATAAATATATTTTAGTACTTTCATGTATATACATTTATGAAAAAAATATATCAGTAAGTTTTATATATCATTAATATTAGATACTGAAATTAATGCTCTTCAAATTGATTTTAAGCTTGTCGAAGCAGCTGTTCTTTGAATGCATTTTTATTTACTTAAAACATTTTAACGTCTATTTTTAATAATTTACTAAATAGTTCAGTAATAATTTACTATATACTTTTAAATATTAATTTTGAATAAGCAACATCGCCTTTTTCACATTTAAACACCAGTTTTTTAACTGACATCAACCGTATAAATACTTTTAATTTTTAACTTTTAATAAAATTATATGAATTAAATTTATTTAATCTTTTTATTTGTGACCAAAATATTATAATAATTTATTGACGGGCTAATTGGTCAATTTAAATAGAAATAAAAAAACTATTATTTATTTCTATTTAAATTTACTAATTAGTCGATCAATGAATTATTAAATTAAATTTAAAAATTAAAATTAATTTATTTAATACTTAATAATAATTAATTTTGAATAAATTAATTTTAAAGTTGATCTGTTTTATAATAGAATTAAAAACTTGCATAAATGTAGTAATCAATTGATTAGAAATTTTTGTGTCATTACCCAAAAAAGTCTGTTTTATAAAACCTTGAAATTTTATTATATTTTCAATTCTCAATGCTGGCAATTCTGTCTTTCAGCAGACAGAACATTTGTTGGGAAAATTTATTTAGTTAGAAGAAAAGAGCATAAGTAAGTAGTCGAGTGCAACGGCTCGGATATTACTAAGAATTTTCATTAATTATAATATTAGAATGTATAAAATGTGAAAGCAAATTGAAAAATACACAAATATAGCAAATCATTGTGATTTTTGTGCAAAATACGCATATTTAAACTTGAAAAGAAGTTATTTTTAGATATTGGAAAAAGTTCTTACGTGCTGCGCTGCTTTACGTCAGCAGCTATTCCGATATTTATGTGAATGTTAATGAAAATGTATGCAATAACAAACAAACAACAGTGCCATGCCGTATTGTATGATAAAAAAACAACACAATTTTAAGCAATTAATATTTAATTAGTTCGACACGTATAAATGCAATAATTTAACATGTTGCTTTAAATTTATTAATAAATTCAGAAAAAATTACATTTCAATATTTGTGTTACCAAAACAAGAGAACAAAAAAAAACCTAGGATTGTAAAAAAAATTTAAAAAAGTGCAAATAAAACTACGTAGCTTTAATTAATTAAAAAAAAATTATTTATTAGGTTAACTTATTAACTCAACGAATGATTGTAATATTAGCAACTTATATTAAAGTTATTGTTTTTTAACATTGAATTAATTCATTGAGATAAATTTTTTAACAATTGGCTAATTAAATTAATTAATTCAAAAAAGCTTCAAATAAAAATGCTAAGTTTTCCAAGCAATCAATTCAGTAGTTTGTGTCTGCGCTTTTACTCCACTCTGCTCTCCCAGACTCGTGCTCTCGTGCGATGTCCCGCCAAACGCAACCCTTGCGAGTGACATGGATATTATTTATTTTTATTTATTAAAATTAATTCAAATCAACTTTTGCCTCCTAACAACAATATGCTTTGTACTCATTAATTAAAATTAATATAAATCAACAATTTGATTGCAAAATAACCTACAAATAAATGGAAATAAAATAAAATAAAGTATGCCACGTTTTGAACAGCTGGAATTCATCATACAAACGACATGAACTCCAGCATTCGAATTCAAACGGGAATGTATGGGACACGTATGCGCAGGGGTGTAGTTAAGTGGGGGATAACTTTGTTATATAAATATATAGATCAACAAATATCATACGATACACGAACAATTTTAAATTATTTATTTTTGAATATTGCTTAAATGTTAATAGCTTTTATAATTAAAAAAGATTCTTGGCTACACGGCCAAGGTCGTACATTCATAAAAGTATGTAGAATGTGGCTTATATGTTTAAAATTAAAATATATGAGTAGCATTAATTAATAACTTTTTATTAATTTTATTTAATATTTAAATTAAAAGCAATATTTTTTCCATTTACAATTACTTTGTATTTGAATTTATATGAAATTTAAAGTTTTTCTTATATGCTTATATGTTTACGTATATACATTAAGACCGAAAGGTTTTCGGATATTCTCATTTAAAATTCGCGCGCTGTATATTTTTCGATATTTTAAGTTTATGTAGTTTGGCAGCACTGTCCTTAATTACTATGCCAAAAATGAGCGCGATCTGTCAGACAGTTCGTTTACGGCAGCTGTTGAAACCAGTTCACCTCAGTAGTGCGTTGCGAAAAAAACAATGGAAAAAATATTGAACAAAGAGTTTGCATCAAATTTTGTGTTTCGAACGAAATTTCGTGTGCAGAATCGTTGCGAATGCTACAAAAGGCTTATGGGGAATCAGTTTTATCGAAACCTCAAGTTTATGAGTGGTACAAAGCCTTTCAGGACGGTCGTACGACCGTCGAAGACATGCCGCGTTCTGGACGACCTTCGGCCTCTACCACCGACGAAAACATTGAAAAGGCAAAGGAAATCGTGTTCCAAAATCCTCATGTGAGTGTTAGAGAGATAGCACGAGAGCTAGGCATCGGTCGTGAGAGCTATCCGCCG